TTCCCCCCCCCCCCCCCCCCCCCCCCCCCCCCCCCCCCCCCCCCCCCCACCCGTTACAATCGCTGCGCTTCTCCCACCTCACATTGCCACCTAAAGATAACCCTTAACCCTTCCCTCATCTAACCCCTTCCTGCCTGCCCACCGGTGTCGGGTTGATGGAGGCGACGGAAAACCTACAAGGTATACCCGCAGAAACAGTTACGAGGCCGGCCACAGACCCCTAACCCGTTCCAAGGAAAAGGAGCGACGTGGGACTTCGGAGAAATAGACGAAGCTGCCCAACTGATTTCAAAACATCCACCCGGAGCCATCTGTCGCCGAGCCCAAAGACCTCAGCCCACCCGTCATCGCAGGATATCCGCCAGCCCCATCGACCCCGACCACCGGCATATCGACGTTCGATTATCGATCTATCCAGTTGCCGGAAGAGGCCCCCCATCCTAAACCCCTCCCCTCCCCCAAAATATCGCGCTACGGTCTCGTCGTCGCAGCAACTACGACGAGCCGCCAATTAGCGTTTAGCGACCAAAGAGTAAAGAGATTTATAGTAGAGAGCGATTTAGTAAAAAGACGATTGGAAGCGAAAGAGTGAGAAGTGAGTGAGCGAGAGGGAGTATCCTGTGATACCGGTGAGCCCTTAACATTATTACAAGTGTAAAGTTTGAGTCTGGCAACGGCAACCTTCGCCTGCGCGCATTCGCGTTCGCGTATCGTCTTACCCCTTTGATGCCACGTTTTGCGAAACCCCTTCGTCCTACCCTCATCATTCCCGTCAACAATCACCCTTCTACGCGTAACGTAACGGACTTCCTGTAAACCCTTTCTCCTCCCAACCCTCAATAATCCTCCCTGCGAACTCCCCGGCGAAATATTGTACGGACGTAAGTGCCCGGTACCCCTCCACTGTAAGCACCCCAATTACCCCCTTTCCCTTTTTGATTTTGGATTGCCACGAACGTGGCTGGCGCCCAACCTTTTGTAACTACGATCAACGTTTGTATTGAGATAAAGTATATAGTGCACCCACGTTAAACGGGTCACAAAGTATATTCATAGAAACCATGCAATTTTTTTTTTTTTTTTAGTTAATGTCAATCATTTTTCTTATTTCAGGCAGCATGAATCCCGGTAGTTATATTGTACCTGAGTAAAATGAAACCATCATCCATGTATGGTAACTCTGGGGAATTGTGCTTGTGCAGTTACCATAACAGCTCTATGTCACACATGACAGTTTCCCTGTCTTGCAATCGTGGAACAAGCGAAACTATTTTTCACCATATTGCTTTGTACATTGCTTTAGTACGACATTCACATAAAGCAAAAATAGTAGCGATTCCCTGTAAATGGACATCATTTTTTAATCTGATTATGTGAGATAAGCGTAACAAAAATTATCACTAGTAGTATACCATGTTATTGTAACATATGTGTACAGTGTAGAGATGATGAAAAGCAAGCATTTGTAGTACCACCTAATAAGAGATAAAAAATGAACAAAATGTAACGACTTTCATTATTTGAAAAATATTAATCATTTCTCTTAATTACTTACAGAGAAAGTACCATCCATTTCTTTAGCATTTTCGAATACAATTAGCAATGTAGTGTTAGAGAAAATTAATGCATGTTTGTTATCATTTGAGATTGCACATCCCTTGTAAATTTCTATCTAGACATCATAATTTTTTAATATTTTATGTGCACGAATGTTGCTGCATCAATATTCGTACAAATATTGTCAAAGATGTCCTTATTATTTACTGAAGAATTTTTATTACATCTACATTTTCATTCTCTTGTATGGCTGATTTTAATTTTAATATTTATGTACAACGCGGTTCTTTAGGATGAGTGTGCAGTTTTTACACGAAATAATGTTCATCATTTTGAATTAATGATCTTATACATTTTATCCATTATAATAAAGATTTTAAGAATACCAAGATTTATCGCAGTTCTGTCCGTCAATCTCACAAGTGTACAGGAACATTAACGTGAAATTAGTGTAATTATTATATGGAAGTTGTCTTCCGTAAAGATTTACGCCGTTGTGTTTGAATACAAATTTTTTCCAAAACAACTTGGGGATCCATATTGCGAGTAAGAGTTTCTTTACTTGAAATAGGTTTCTGGCAATTCTTATCTACAAAAAATGAAAATGTAGGATATGTAACTGTCGTTAAAATTATATTATCTTGTATAACATCATTCAAACTGAATTAATAAACATAATATTAATATTCTAAAATTAATATATACATACTCTTTCCACCTGTAGTTATTGCGTGTACGTTTCGGGTACATACACGGTTTTCAGCTAACATTGCGTCGCTATAATCTAAAAAAGATATAGATAAAAATGGTAACATTGAATAAAAAAAAGATATATAAATGAGGAATGTAAGCGGGAAGGGGCATAGGATACATACCTTCTATATTGGAAGTAGCTCTAGTTTGTGTTGGCTGGTTTTTGTAGAATTTATTAACAGATGCGATAGTTGCTGCTTCTGAAAAAGTAGAACAAAGTAAACAAAAACAAGAATAATGAAAAATATATATATTGTTTTTGCTGAAATACCTGCAACAAATGTTTTTGGAAATTCATTATATCCATCAATGGTCGCGGTGGATACCCCTTCTGAAAAAGTAAAAGAACGTAAACAAAAACAAGAATAATGAAAGAAATATATATTGTTTTTGTTGAAAAGGAAATACCTGCAATGAATGTTGTTTTTGGAAGAACTTCATTACATTTATCATTTTCGTTAGAATCTGTAATATAACTTGTAAAATATAATAAATATTGTTCCAGATTCAAATACAGTGTTGTGTATTATATCATAGAAACTACGTAATAAATAATATGTATGTTCGAGCGAACTATTTCCCGAATGCCTGTCGCGACTAACTTCTATTATATTCCTATCCTTCTCTCATCGGCGCCCGTCTCTCTCACGCCGTTGACCAGCGGTGTGGGGCGAGGACGCCGGGGGAGAGAGGGAGATGTGCGAACCTTTCGTCGCGCTACGACGATGCTCACTCTCGTTTCAAGGAAATTCTCTCGAGCAGTTTTCGGAGAATTCATATCAGCAAATCTCTCTTTTTTCTGGCGCGTCGCTCGAACCGAGTGCTTCGGCGAACCGCAATAACGCGGATTAGTTTATGTGAATGGTGGATCGAAATATAAACTTTTTGTTCATTTTATCTCTAAGACTACGTGTTAATTTATTAAATACAACGAGTTTTTGCTAAAATTACGCAACACGTTGTTGTGGAGTTCATTGCTTCCGCCTTTTCAAGAATCCTGCGTTTCGGTAAACGCGATCCGGCACCTCGCTCATTTCCTGAAGATTTCCAACCGCGGAAAATACGCCGCGACGAAATTTGACGGAACAATGTACGAGTATAATTTATACGAATTCGAAGCATACCTTTTGACATGAAATCGCTCTCGTAGTGTTCTTGTCTATGATCTTCGCTAAAGAAACGTAAAAATTCCCCTAATGGCAGTGTCCCAGACATTAAATTTTCTTGTGATGTTGTAATTTTCTTATTCTTTGCTTTATTCGTGCGTGTTCGTATACTCCTTATGTTTTCATTTTTTAATAATCTTTTATAATTTGTTTCTTGATCCGCAATTAGATTTGTTAACTTATCTGTATTTAAGAATAAAAAAAAACACACATTAAGTTTATGTAACACATTAAAATGATTAGAAGGATGGACGTATTCGATTAGTCTAGAACAGTGGTCCCCAAACCGTGCGCTGCGGCGCACCGATTCGCCGCAAAATAATTAAAATTATATCAAAAATGAGTAAAATATGAAATACCATTCTCAATATAAATCATTAAAATAAAAACAATATATGCATATAAGGTGCACTGAAATTTCTTCATTTGTTATAAAGTGTTTGGGAACCATTGATCTAGAACAGAGCTCGGCAAGATTTGCACATTTCAGCCGATTTTCAGCTGCCTCCGCCTACCGCTATTCCCCTTGCCGCGACATGCAACGCGCAGCCGACGAATCGTTCGAGGCTCAGGAGCGTATCGCTCGTGAACGTTTACTGGCAACCACTTAAAAATGTGATCGCGCGGTACCCCTCTCCAGTGACCTTGGTGCGTCAGTCTCGCGTATCGTTCGAATTTAATGTTACAGGATTGTCTGGAAATAAGCAAGTGGCTCGGGACCGAACAGTTGCTTATTTCGAAGCAGGTATGCTATTCGGCTTGACTTTGTTCTCGAAACGAGACGATAGAGAACGCGAGAAACAAGTGAGAGATCCGAGGTAGCGGCAAATCATAAAGTGATCGGCCGAGCAGCGATGTTATTTTTTGAACAAGGATAGAATATAGCATGCCCTCTCATTCTCGCACTATGCGTTTCCGAAGGCATATAGAATCACATGAACGATACATGCTCCAATTTACTAATTGCGTGTTACACTCCCTCTTATTTTTTTTGTCGATTATTTTAATATTAAAGCACATCTGTGTACGAATGTTATATAATTATTGCTGTTCCAGTTAATAGGTTTTAAATAATACACAATACATGTAATTACAAATATTCAAAATGTTCCCTAAATTATTGATATACATAAATGGATATTTAATATACGAAAAGATGTTTTAAATGTCACTCTTGAAGAAATAAAGAAAATTTAAATATGTTGTAAAACTCTTTTTCACTGGCGCATCGACAAGGAGTTTTGTATATTTTGTATATTTTGAAAATTGTTGTTACTCACAATTAATACATATCCCACTATGTCAGTATCATCCGAAGCGAGTTGCTTATTTCGAAGCAAATATACCAGACTGAGAAAGCATTATATATATTCCATCCTTCTTTTACTAACCGATGTCACTGCTCAGTCAAGCGTGAAATTTATTACCCTAAACATCGGCTTCCCGCTTTCATGGACCTCTCACTCATGTCTCGTACCTCTCACTTTGCGGGCGACTTCAAACAAAGAAGAGGGGATAGCGAGTTGTTTACAGTAAAACCTGGATAAATTCAACGAAAGAATGCTTGGATAAATGAAACATCGCTATCCCCTCCACTTGGGGGGATCCCCCTAGGCGAACCGAGCCGCTCAACGAGGAAACCGTGTAATATGATCCGACCGTAATATCCGTGTGACTAATACTAATTCAACGATAAAACTTTTTTATTTTTAACTTTTTCTCAATGAAACTGTTACTAATGCATTTGTGAGATTTTTCTGATTAAAATGATACCAAACTCGATATAGGTTGAATTATATTTATAAACAATAGTAATAGAATAAACAACATAGAATTGAGACCACGACTGAATATCAATGATGTCGGCTGAATACAAAAGATGTGTACGGACACAGAATCGGCATGTCGGCTGCAAAGAAAACATGTGTACGGACTCAGAATCGACACCTCGCTTGGATAAATGAAACATTAAATGCCCAGAATCGACTCCTTGCTTGAATAAATGAAACATTAAATGCTCGGAATCGACTCCTCGCTAGAATAAATGAATCAGTAAATGCCCAGAATCGACTCCTCGCTAGGTTAAATGAAACCTTTGAAACCAAAGCCGACACCGCGACTGGTTTGGATTTCGATCTCTCTTGCTTTTCGCCAACTTATAACATCAATTTTAGCAAGTAATTATAATTTAAACTATATCGTGTTTGGTACCACTTTACTCACAAAAATCTCACCAATGCGCTAGTAAAAGTTTCACTCAAAAAAAGTCAAAAATAAAAAAGTTTTTTGATTCAATTAGTATTAGTCACACCGATACGTTTCGGCTCTTTCCTTTGATTTCGGACCTCTCTCTTTCCACCACTGTCCGTCCCTTTCTACGTTCACGCTTGGCTGGTCGTCGCCTGTCATCCGAGCTTCGATACCGTGCTTAGGTAAACGCAACCACTGGGTCCCAATCTTGGTTGAATTTATCCGGGTTTTACTGTATTTCGAAGCAGAGACCACTTGCTTATTTCCAGGCAATCCTGTACTGTATTTACAAGAAAATAAATATGAATTTAATTCATCAAAGTTTTGCACTTCGAATATAAACGCAAGATAAATGTTTCTTTTTATCACTTCATAGTTCGTTAATTCGTTAATTCGCTTATAGATCTTTGACAGATCTCCAATATGAAAAACAAAATACATACATAGCTCCTTTATTGTAGTATAACACATTTTGAAAGATTTTGTTCCGATAATATAACTTGTTTTTCCACACAATTCATCTGTATTTTTTAACCTTTGTTGTTACATTGTGTATTCATTCTATTAGTGATGGTAAACATAAACTAACTACATAAATGATAATAATATTCATAGCTATGAAAAACCGAAAATTTGGATGGACAGCCCTGAATTTTCTGATCACAGCACTGTGAAAAGATTCAACAATGTTGTTAGTCCTCACTGCAGAACCGTATACGCTGACCTTGAAAGAAATAGGAAGCCACACATTGCGCAGATATGTCATAAACAGAAGTTCATTTGGAAATGTGCCGCATAAAAGGTCAGCGACTAACTGAATGTGATTTAATGCTTCTGGAAACATATCGGAAGGAGCTAAAGGCATTGTCATAGCCATTGACAGAATCTCTCATGGTGCTCCTTGCAACCCCAACTTCTTCCATTTCCTTAATAGAGCCTGAATAATAAAAAAAGGATTATTCAATTCTTCATTCAGCACGTTAATGAGGTAAGTTATACAAAAGATACATGAATAATGCTAACGGTTATATTCTACCTGAGTAAAATGAAACCAGCATCCATGTATGGTAAACCTGGGGAATTGTGCTTGGACACTTTCCATAGCAGCTCTTTCGTAACCACACATGACAGTTTCTAAGTTGTCTTGCAATCGTGGAACAAGCGAAACTATTTTTCCCCAAATGGCTTTGTACATTGATTTAGTACGACATTCACATAAAGCAAAAATAGTAGCGATTCCCTGTAAATTGACATCATTTATTAATCTGATAATGTGAGATAAGCGTAACAAAAATGGTCAATGGTGGTATACCGTGTCATTGTAACGTATGTGTACAGTATAGAGTCGATGAAAAGGAGGCATTCGTGGTACAACCTAGTAAGAGATAAAAAATGATTAAAGTGTAGAAACTTTCATTATTTGAAAAGTATTAATCATATAAATGGTTTATGTTAAATACTTACTGAAAAAGTACCATCCATATATACTTCTTTAGCATTTTCTAATGCAGTTAGCAATGTAGTATTGGAGAAAATTAGTGCGTACTTGTTATCATTTGAGATTGCACATCCCTTGTAAATCTCTTTCAGAACATCATAATCTTTTAATATTTCGTGTGCACTCTGCACAGTTTTTGGCAAACCTGGTCGTGATTTTCTTTTCTCTCTTGACATTACCGATTTCATACTATTGTATGAAATATATGTTGCTGCATCAAGATTTGTATGACAAATATTGTCAAAGATGTCTTTATTATTTACTGAAGGATTTTTACTACGCTCCTCCAGCATGACTTGCTCGAGCGGTTTGTTTCAAATTTGGCGCTGCGCGAGGGTGTGCGGTTGGACGTTGTCACGCAACCCTGCGCAGGCGCGAGCGGCGTGTCGGTGGTGGTGGCGGCGGTGTATGGCCCGGGGCTGGGCCCGGCTTTGAGACCGTGATCGGTACCCTGTGCAGTTGGAACGTTTTGTTGTGTTGTTTTGAATTGCGATTTGTGCCACAGTTTTGATTTTAATCAGACTTTAAACGTGTGGCGAGTGCGATTGTGCGTGCGTCCTCTGTTCTGAAGCACTACGTGCTGTCGTTTTGTGTTCTGCACGGCCCGGCGATCTTGTGGGAGAGTCAGACGGCCAACTGTGTGCAGTGATTGGTACGGCACAGTGCGGCAATCGGCTGGTTCTGCTCACCTGGCTAGCCGTGCAGAGAGTGACGCGTGTTTACGGTCACTCTGTCCCCGATTGCGGGACCCTTCCTGTGATCAGGAAGTTTCTTTTCGCGAGGACCACGGCGATCTGCGGTGACCGCGGCGAGGCGCCATTCCATTAAGGTTTAGGTAAGAGAGATCTCTCTGCGTGCGCTATTTTTTACGCATTGAATGATCATTCAAATTCGTTTATGTATCTCTAGTTTTCGTAAGTTCTACATTATATTATTTGTTATTTTCCCCATTTTCAGGCATTCAATTTGATTTAATTTTCTTTTGTTAGGACCAGGCTTTTTCCCCACTTTCGACTGGGGTTTTTTACAGCCGGTATCCGTAGAGTAGAGGCATTTAATTTTCAATCAAATAAATACATTTATTTTCTTTTGTTCTTCTCACATAATTTTTGTGTACAATTTATTTATTACCGGTGACACCAATTCCACCTCATGTCCTACCCATTCGATATTCCGGTTATTCGGAACAAATTCAGAGTATAAAAAAAATCGGGGGTACAGAATTGCCTCGAAATAAGCAACACGCTCGGATCTGGCCAGTTGCTTATTACGGATCAGGTATGCTATTCGGCTCGACTTTGTTTTTTAAACGGGACGATAGAGAACACGAGAAACGAGTGAGAGATCCGAAGTAGCGGCAAATCATAAAGTGATCGACCGAGCAAAGATGTTCGTTTTTGAACAAGGATAGAATATAGCATGCCCTCTCATTCTCGTACTATTTCGCTTATTTCAAGGCAAATATGCTAGACTGAGAAACCATTATATATATTCCATCCTTCTTCTACTAACCGATGTCACTGCTCAGTCGAGCGTGACAATTTATTATCCAAAACATCGGCTTCTCGCTTTCACGGGCGACTTCAAACAAGAAGGAAGGGATATGGATTTGCTTACTTCGAGCCAGAAAACTGTTGCTTATTACAGATCAAGACTGTATGACCATTTCGGAAGTACAAACCTTTCCTTCTATACTGGCTATTATTACTTATATTTTACGAAAGATACAAAAAAAATTTTATGATCTTTGAATTACACGCTTTACCCCTTTTATTCAGACGTGTTGTCATTTAAGAAGAAATTCGTGCACAGAATTATTCATACTTTCAATATTCTACCAAAAAGTAGATCTAACACCTATTTGCACATAAAATGGAAATTTTTAATGGGAGAAGAAAAAATACTTTTATATATGTTTATGAAGGATATTCTTATAACAAAGATTCCAAGAATCCGAAGATCTGCCGTTGTTCTGGTCGTCAATTTAAAAAATGTACAGGAACATTAATTGAAAAAGATGAACATTATTTCGTGCAAAAACCGCACACTCATCCGAACGAACCGCGCTGTACAGAAGTATTAAAATTAAAATCAGCCATACTGGAGGAGCGTGGTAAAAATCCTTCAGTAAATAATAAAGACATCTTTGACAATATTTGTCATACAAATCTTGATGCAGCAACATATATTTCATACAATAGTATGAAATCGGTAATGTCAAGAGAGAAGAGAAAATCACGACCAGGTTTGCCAAAAACTGTGCAGAGTGCACACGAAATATTAAAAGATTATGATGTTCTGAAAGAGATTTACAAGGGATGTGCAATCTCAAATGATAACAAGTACGCACTAATTTTCTCCAATACTACATTGCTAACTGCATTAGAAAATGCTAAAGAAGTATATATGGATGGTACTTTTTCAGTAAGTATTTAATATAAACCATTTATATGATTAATACTTTTCAAATAATGAAAGTCTCTACACTTTAATCATTTTTTATCTCTTACTAGGTTGTACCACGAATGCCTCCTTTTCATCGACTCTATACGTTACAATGACACGGTATACCACCATTGACCATTTTTGTTACGCTTATCTCACATTATCAGATTAATAAATGATGTCAATTTACAGGGAATCGCTACTATTTTTGCTTTATGTGAATGTCGTACTAAATCAATGTACAAAGCCATTTGGGGAAAAATAGTTTCGCTTGTTCCACGGTTGCAAGACAACTTAGAAACTGTCATGTGTGGTTACGAAAGAGCTGCTATGGAAAGTGTCCAAGCACAATTCCCCAGGTTTACCATACATGGATGCTGGTTTCATTTTACTCAGGTAGAATATAACCGTTAGCATTATTCATGTATCTTTTGTATAACTTACCTCATTAACGTGCTGAATGAAGAATTGAATAATCCTTTTTTTATTATTCAGGTTCTATTAAGAAAGTGGAAGAAGTTGGGGTTGCAAGGAGCACCAAGAGAGATTCTGTCAATGGCTATGACAATGCCTTTAGCACCATCCGATATGTTTCCGGAAGCATTATATCCTATTTCCTATTTCTTTCAAGGTCAGCGTATACGGTTCTGCAGTGAGGACTAACAATATTGTTGAGTCGTTTAATAATTCTCTTGCACAACGTTTCCAAACAACGCGGCCGAATTTATGGATTTTTTTAGGCAACTTTTCACGCGTTTTTTAATGCGTGTAATTCTTTTTATTTCATTGCAGTAACATTGTAAAGAAATTGATTCACAGATAACTTGTTAAAAGTAATCAAAGATGAAACGATTGACTACGAACGTTTATTAAAGAAGTTGAAGGTTACACGGATTCGTACTCGCGCCAATCGGAAAAGGAACGCCAAAATTAAGTTATTACAAGACAATTTAATTAACGGAATACTGCCAATTGAGCAGTTTTTAAACATGTTTAGTAAAGATTATGAACAACAGCAATACATTGATAATGCATTGTCAAGTGGTACGTTTTCATACTTCTACAATGCTACGTTCGACTTATGCTTCTAGTATAATTTTTTTTACTAGACGTTTTTAGACTGCGATGAAAATGGCGTATATAATGAAACTCGTACGATTGAAACATTCAGTACAGGTAATTATCTATCTCCAAACGAAGATGAATTCTGTTAACTATTTGCATTTAATTTGAACAAATTCCAATTTTTTTATCAATCTTTTTCAGAGGACAGTTCGCTCGAGTACACGAGTAACGGAGACCGTAGTATTCAATATGTTCAAGTAGATAGTACAGCAACCAATGATATAGATGGTACATTTCTAATTACTCCAGTCTTCAATTTTATTTATTACTTAACACGTCAATTATTATCGTACATAATCTTTTATAGATGACATTCCATCAACAATGCCGGATAACAGTATATGTATACAAAATCAAGCAGTACCTACATATAGTACAGTAGAAGGTGCGTTCTGTTTTACCTGATCATTTTTTTTTCTTTTGTTTTCTTGTTTCAAGTGTGCTCAGAGTAAAATACTGCTAAAATTTGTGTCATTTTCAGTTTTTTTTTTTCTGTTGTTTCTACGCTTAATAACTCATAATTTATGTACATCATTTTTTGTAGGTAATGACGTTTATATAATATGTAGCTGTAGAGAAAACGAGGCTTGTGTGCATTCAGGAAATAAGAACAACGAAGAACCAATAGAGGGTAAATTTTTGATCACATCTTATTAATGTTTAGATTATGTATTACAAAGTAAGTAAATTTTATTGGGTCCATCTTTAATGTATACTTATGTGTTATAGGTGATATTTCTTCAACACCCATTAACAAACCCAGTGATATTTCCACGAAGGCTTTAGAGGAATTGCACATAAGTATGGATAATATGACAGATCGTATGTTTAACCTTCACTGACATTTTCAGCCTATGTTCAAATTTTTAAATACTATTTTACTAATTAAAATCGTTTTACAGATACAGACATTTGTATAAGTAGTAGCCAAATTAATGCACAGAATTTAATAGAATGTAAATTCTTTACTTGTTCATATCTTTACTTTTGATTTTCAATCAACAGTTTATCAGCATTTAATTTGTTACCTTTGATAAATACAGTGTAAGTGATATTGTATCTGTATAAAATACAATGGGGTGTTTACAAAAAGATAATATGCAGGGTGTTCGACAACAGGTGTGCAAAATTTGAAGGGGTGATTCTAGGGATCAAATTAAGACGAAAATCAAGAATAATGAAATAGCGTTTGCGGCTTTGTTTTCCAGTAATTAACGTTTAAATATTCGAGTAAAAAGCGCCTCAAACCTGCAATTCGCCCAGCACCGACGACTGAATGTCAGGTCAACAAAGGAAGGTACAGTCATAACCAAGAATCGTTGAATAGTAGAAATTTACCTCGTGCTATTTTGTTTTTCGGTACTGCAGCATTCGGCTTTCTCTTCTTGGTTATGACTGTACCTTCCCCTGCTGACCTGACGTACAGTCGTCGGTGCTGGGCGGATTGCGAGTTTTAGACGCTTTTTACTCGAATTTTTAAACGTTAATTACTGGAAAACAAAACCGCAAACGCTATTTCGTTATTCTTGATTTTCGTTTTATTTTGATCCCTAGAATCAACCCTTAAAATTTTGCCCACCTGTTATCGAACACCCTGTATATAGTACATGATATCATGCAATATCATTTTATATTGTTATCTATTTATGCAAAATTAAACTTCGCAAATGTACTTCATAATATACATATTTTATAGTATTTTAAAATTAATCTCGTTTTGGTGTATTCTGTTTCTATAGGAACTGGTCAAAGAACCTGCTGCTGCGAGTCAGGCGTCAGCAGTACAAGACTACCATGCGGCCATATTTATTTTTGCCAATAATAAAAAGTTAATATTAACCTAACCAAAGCATTTTTTAATTAGACTAATATCCTTGCATTTGTGGCGGATGTGCGGCGAAAGTTCGCGAGAACGTTCGCGTCGAGACGCAGCCAGCGGCACTTCAATCGACGACTCCGGAAGTCGTAAGATCACGAAAGAGAGACGCCTATACATACAGGGTGTCTCACTTAAACGGATACAGAGCTCCTTATTCCGTAACTATTAATGATACAAAAAATTGTTGATATGGAAATTGCTTGGGAAAAGGGGGTCTATGTTTTGGCCAAAGTGAAAAATCTTTCGCATTATTAGTTTAAGAAATATGATGGTCAAGTTTTTTACCATATATTTTTTTCAGATCATGTAATAGTGCTTCTCAAGACAAATTCATTAAACTGTTCGGGATTTGAGTCTCAAGTACCCCAGCGGCAAACACGCGACTCGCGAGAAAGTCTTGCGGTGTTATACACGTGGGTGCTGAATATGCGTGGAGAAGGATTGAAACACAAAAACGAAAGAGAAATGATTATTATAAGTAAACACAAAACTTTATTATGAAAATGTATAAATTGAGTAAAAACGATGAAGAGAATATACGAAGAGCTCGGCGTAGCGATGGTAGGCACATCGACTAGTCGCGAGGTAGCGTAGACACAAGAGTAAGGAAAAATCGGAGAAAGCGGAAAAAAGCGCGTTCGTGGGGGGTGTGAACCGGTGCCTACGTGAAAGCGCTAGAAAGTCGCACACGGTACAAGTGTCTGCTTTCGACCATGGTGCTGCCGCCTTCCGGTCGGCAGAGCAGGCTCCATGGATTGTGGCGTCTCCGACGAGGGTGCCACAGGGACTCCCCCCTTAGTGCCTGACTGGAGGAGGGCACGAAGAAGTAGAAGAGCCCTGAGGTTGCTCCAGGGGAGACCGGAAGGTCACGGATGGTCGAGGTCCCGGGCGGGGCGACTGGACCGGCTGGCTTGGCGGCTCGTCGACGGCGACAAAGGCCGGCTTCAAACAGTCCACGGAGATAGTGCGGACCTTGCCGTTAACGTCGATAACGTATCTCTTGGCGTCGAGGTGCTGGAGGACACGGTGTGGTCCAGTGAAGGGCGGCGTCAGCGGCGGCTTGACGGCGTCAACCCTCCGGAAGACGTGCGTGCAGGAGGCCAAATCCTTATGTACGAAGTGCTTGGCCTGAGAATGGTGCGAAGTTGGCATCGGCTTTAAGAGGCGGAAATGATCCCTCAATTTGTGGAGAAATGAGTGCGGATCCGCAGGGCGATCCTGCATGACGAAGAAATCTCCTGGAATGCGGAGAGTCGTCCTAAACAAGAGCTCTGCAGGAGAGGCTCGAAGGTCTTCCTTGTAAGCAGTCCTCAGGCCGAGGAGGACAGTTGGAAGAAGGTGAGTCCAGAGGACCTCAGGATGGCACATCAAGGAGGCCTTGAGTGTCCGGTGCCATCTCTCTAGGATACCATTTGATTGCGGATGGTACGGGGTTGTGCGGATCCTACCTGCCCCGACAAGACGAGCGAGAGCTGTCCGTCCACAATAGCGGTGGCCGTCCACAAGAGGAAGAACGATTAGGTCCAAATGGACGTGGTTAAACCGTTGACCGGGACGAGGCACTCACGTGCCCATTTCAAAGCATCTGCTCGGATGCCTGGTCAGACGAATTTCTCCCTGAGGCGCAGAGAGGTGGCACGGCCGCTTGGATGGGCGGACGAATGCACCACGTCGAAGGCTCTGCGTCTCAGCTCCAACGGACTGTAAGGCCGAAGGAATCCGGAGGAGGTGCTGCAAAAAATGCGATAGCCGTCGACGACCATCGGCTGGAGGCTCAAGCAAGAGGCCGCGCTCTTGTGCCTCGCTCTTGTGCCTCGCAGATCACCGCAGGAAACAAGGCCGTGGGCATCTCGATGGTCTCTACCCGGGAGAGCGCATCAGCAGCGGCGTTGTTGTTGCCGTCTATGTGGGTGAAAGTGAGGCAGAACTGGCTTATGAAGTCCAGCTGCCTGAGCTGGCGCGGTGAAGCCTTGTCCGGCCGTTGTTTCAAGGCCCTGACGAGCGGCTTATGGTCTGTGCGGACCACGAACTCTCGACCCTCGAGGAGGTGCTCAAAGTGTTTGAGCGCTGCATATACACCCAGCAGTTCACGGTCATAAGGACTGTATTTGGCTTCTGCGGGTGAGAGTTTCCGCGAGAAGAAACCCAGCGGGCGCCAAACGTTATCCTCCAACTGGTCCAGGTGCGCCCCGAGAGCCGTGGAAGAAGCATCTGTGGTAAGGCGTAAGGGAGCCTTCGCAGAGAGGAAGCTCATCTGCGCCGTTGCAGCGAGGCTCCGCTTGCAGCTAGGCTCCGTTTGCAGCGCTCGAAGGCATCTGAGAGCTCAGGCGTCCAGTTGATGGCTCGCCTGTCCTTTTTCTTATTGGAGCCGCGAAGGAGATCCGTAAGGGGCGCTTGCAACGCTGCCGCGGCAGGAATTAGAGCCCGGTAATAATTTATTACGCCGATGAAGCGGCGGAGGTCGGTTATTGTTGGAGACCTTTTGTATTCTAGGACAGCAGAGATCCTGGCCGGAGGTGGCTTGAACCCGTCCGGAGAAATCTGATAGCCGAGGGAGGTAACTTCCTGGCGTGCGAACCTGCACTTAGAAAAATTGACTGACAACTTGGCCTGAGAGAGGACCTCAAAGACCGCTCGAAGATGCTGGAGGTGTTCATCCAGGCTACTGGAGGCGATGAGGAGGTCGTCTATATAGACCTTTACAAAAGGCAAGTTCCTGAAGAGACCATTCATGTGGCGTTGAAAAGTCTGAATAGCATTCCGCAAGCCCAGCGGCATACTGAAAAACTCGAACAACCCAAATGGGGTGGTCACCGCTATCTTGGGAATGTCCTCTGGGGCGACTGGGATCTGGAAATAAGCCAAGTTTAGATCCAGGGTGGAAAAAATCTTCCCACCGTGGAGTCCGAGCAGAAGATCCTCGATGCGAGGGATCGGATATCGGTCACGCACCGTGATCGAGTTCAATCTACGGTAATCTCCCGTGGTGCGCCAGTCACCTTTCTCCTTCCTGTCCAGGTAAATGGGGCTGGCCCATTGGCTGCTGGAAGAGCGAATAACCCCGTGGAGGAGGAGGAGGTCAAAGTCCCTCTTGACCGCTTGGAGTTTCTCTCAAATCAGGCGCCGAGGCCTGGCGAAAACCGGCGGGCCCGTCGTGACGATGTGGTGTTGCGCCGCCGCCGAGGGTCCGTGACTCGGAGCTGAGCCTGGCTGCAAGAGGTGGTGGTACGTCCGGATAAGGGATCTGAAACGATCGTCCAGTGCCTCGACATCCGAAAGACTCGGCGACGCGACGCTGATCCCTTGAAGGGCAGCTAGATGGGCGATGCCCTCTGCAAAGCAGCGCGTTGCAGAATCCACGAGGCGGCGATGCCTGAGGTCGACCACGAGACCGTAATGAGCGAGGAAATCCGCACCCAGGATGGCGCATTTGACGTCTGCGCATATAAAGGCCCAGGGGAAGGCTCGCCGAAGGCTCAGATTCAGCGTTAGGATGCGCTGTCCGTATGTGCTGATGGTGGATCCATTGGCTGCAAGGAGCTTCAGAGATCCAGGAGCCGGGTTACGCTTTGGGGCCCTGATCAGCAGCAGCGAAATTACCGAGCCCGAGTCAATCAGGAATTTGACGCCGGAGGAGCGGTCAAAAACGTGGAGTCGCAGCTCTTTAGAGAAAGGCAGTCTTGGTAAACTGTGTGCGTTTGGGCTGCCACCCGCGGCCTGCACCGAGGGCAGCCCTAGATGTTTCCTCGTTGGTCAACCGGGGAGGCTGGTCGGAAGGTGCACGGCTGTGCCGCTGCGCCGAAACGACGGTGGTAGCGGCAGATTCCATCCGACCGAGCTGGCGACGAAGAGCGACGGGAGGAGCTTGAGCGCCCGCCGAAGCTGGAAGATCCGCCGGATGTTGCCACCTTGTTGAGGATTTCCCTCGAGATGGCGATAAGCTGGGTGAGGAACATCCTGATGTCCTCTGCCTCGGGATCCCGTCGGATCGTGCTGGCGACCGGTGAGGAGGCGTGGGAGAAGCTGCCGGTGCTGTTAAGAGACAACACACCCGGGGTAATGGGCGTCTCCATAAGCTGATCTGCAGCTTTTAATTGCTCGTCGAGCGAATTCATCTTAAAAATTTTTAAGATGTTCTGTACGTGTGTCAGGAGCAGCGCCATCCAGCGGATGCGGAGAACGTCCTCGGTGGCCCTGTCGCCCGCGAGGGTCCGCATGTGCCGGAAGAGCTGGGAGGGCTTCCTGTCCCCCAGCTCGAGCTCGTTGAGCATCCTCTTCTGGAGCTGTCGGTCAGCCGAATCCGTGAGGCGCTCGAGAATGCGCGTCTTCAGCGTGGTGTATTTATTGTCCTCTGGAGGAGCCCTGAGAAGATCTGAAATCTCCGCCACGGTGTCTGCGTTCGGAGCACTCACGGCCAGATGATACTTGGATTCATCCGAACGAATCCGATTCACCTGGAACACCGATTCTAACTGGTAGTACCAGAGTTGCGGCTGAGAACGCCAAAAGGGCGGAACACGGCACTGAGTCGCGACGGCCACGCCGGGCTGTGCATTGTCTTGATCGGTTTCGGCCATGTTTGCACCAGCGACGGGCGCGTGCGAGAGGGGAGGTAAAGAAGACCTCGCTGAATCGTCGTATTCCGTCGACGTGCCACGCTCCTTAATTGTTCGGGATTGGTGTCGATCCCGGAAGGATTGCGCTGGAAATAATTTTACTCTTGCTAGACAGGTTTTACAAATTGATTTATTTGAGTCACAAATAAAATAATCGTTGAACACACTGATCGGACAATTCGTTCGTTGAACACGCAATACAAATAAACAGATGAGCGGTTACCGTGATCCGTGGCATTTAACAATTTGGTTTGATCTGTGGTCATGAACAATAAGCCCCGTTAATTTTATAAATTCGGCCCGCTCTTTGATGATGCCCGTGATCATGTGCGAGATCAACACGTGGTCGGCTTCTCACATGGTTTAATTGTAGCGTAATTGAACAATACTTGTGAATCCTGTCGCTCGCACAATTGCTGAGGATTCTGAGCTGGTTTTGGCGAGCTGGTGATCTCAATTTGCTGGGTGATTCGCACTTGAACACTGTGATCTCGAAAACAAGAGTGAGCACGTGTCGTGAACTTGAATAGATGATCGATAATGGCGGTGAAGCCCGCTCGCCGGTGAGAAGACCCCTGCTCACGCGTTGACCTAGATGGGCGACT